TATTATTATTATTATTATTTATTTTAAAATTAATTGCCACTGATGGAAGACTAGAAGTTTTGTCCAAATGTACCTTACATCTAACTTGTAGCTAATTGATCCACAATTGATTCATAAACACAGAGATCTGTTGGTATTAATTAGATGTTTTTAGAATCATCGCAAGATTGGTCTATGGACTATAAGATATTCTCAAAGACAGTAATGGAAGCCGTAGGTACACGATGAAACGTAATGTTGAACATCAAAGGAGACTGTAAAAAAATATTCTCTTGATGCTAACGTAGTTCTGATTAAAACTCGTTAGAGGGCGTTATTTAATAAGGAACGTTAAAATAACATGATAGAACTCGTTGCGCATGCTTCAAGCACAGTGTTGGGGATGGTAAACCAACGTATAATACGTGTTGAATATCGCAATATAGAATCTGTGACTATAAAAGAATCACTGATGTATTTTCTGATTGCAGCTCGTTAGAGGACGCAATTTAGCAGCGAAGACGCAACAGAAGCTGAAAAGTATCATATGTTGGCTATACGAAATGGACGTTCGGTTGTTGCAAGCAATTTAGTGCATAAGAAAACACATTCTTCGTGAGTATTAACCGTGTTATTGTCCATTAAGAAAAATAAATTATTTGAGAGTTTCCTGTTGTTTTAGAGTTCGTTGTCACTGTAACACGATAATAGTGGTTGCAAAGCAATAGTCCTGTACAGAGCACTGTTTTTTATGTATGTAAAATATTAAATATTTGTTGTGTATTTGGTATATATCAGGCCTATAAATTTATAAGATTATACATTATCGCTATTAGACATAGCAAGCAAGTAATTATAGTTTAATGTGCAGTATTAATTATCTGGTAACAACCAGCTGTTGCCAGGGGTGATTGTGATTGACATATGAATTATTATAAAGGATTAATTACTGAGCATCTGTACATAATATAGAGTATTGACTTATTTATATGGAGAGCAATAACAGACCTTTCCGGAGTGTCAATCAAACTTAACAACTGACTAATCAGAACAGCGCTAGGAATACGCGCGTCTTACAAACACACGTGTTTGTCCCACAAACACACGCTCGCGTATGTTTTTAACACTGCCGTCTTGGGACCTTAGCAACAATATCCAAGGGGCGGAACTTTTAGCGGAAAGGTCCATTGCTCCGACACAATGGATCTTTCCACTAAACCTCGCCCTTTTGGATGTTTTTGCTAAGGTTCCCACAAAACGACAGAGTAAACATACGTAAACACGTGCGTTTATGATGAGACCGTGGCGTAATCCTGGCTCTGTTCTGATTGGTCAGTTATATTTCGGAAAGAGGTTTTTAAAACAATTTTAAACATAGTCAACAAGAATTATCATCCGTAGTATAACAACTTGCCAAACAAGTAGCACTTACGTTAGGTACAACATAGGTTACAAACACAGGCCTACATAAATTTCAAGCATTATCCGTATAGGCATTAGCTTAAAAAAACATCCTCATATTAATTGTATGATTTGTTTATACACCCCGTGACTAATTTTGGACGCATTCACTGAAATGTTAAAACAGAACGCTGGAATGACCTGTATTGCCCATAGGAGAGACGCCGCTTTAAAAGCACGCATGGCAATAGCCTTATGTTAACGAAATTGATTAACATTGCATGTAGCAAATCCCTTGATGAAGTCGCTTACACAGTTCGTATATTTAATCGATGGTCAGCAAATAATTGCTTCTTTCAGTAAATCTATTGGAGCTTGGACATCTTGTTTTGGTAAAGTGAAGGGGGAATGAATAATGTTATGTGATATTCCGTAATTAATGTATAACAAATTATGGTGACTAATATCGCATAGGAAATACAAATCATTCATGATTTATATTCTGTTATATAATGTGACAATTCAGAATTTCACTCATCCGGCAGGAAAAACACACAGTATTGTTGCCACCAGGATATTCTGTCCCACAAAGACGACCAATGACGGTACAAGAAATATCATAATGATTCTTCAAAAATGAGCAATTCAATCAATTTCATTATTGATGAGCGTATAATGTAAACGGAAGTACCAAGGGAGTTGGTAAACTTCTAGTGTTTTTTTTTTTTGTTTTTTTTTTTATGATTCGTTTCCCTCAGCGAGGGTGTCATACTTCAAAAAAATACATTTAACTTCTTTTCCATTAGACATTTCTATGCCAAGCCGTCCAGTGGTGATTAGCCGATATTATAAGAGAGTACTGGGATTGTGCCTTAAAAATCGATCCTTGCTGGTAGATGCATATCTGAACTTAATTACATAACGACGGTCACACAGACTTAAGCCGAGAGAAGAGATAGGTCCACTGTAAGCCTACTGCGAACGCGACTGCTATTCGCATTAGTCCCCACCTTGAATAATGTGAAATTAATTATTTACTTATTTGATGAACGAGGAGGAGTGGGTCGAATATGTATATATGCCTATTTGCATACGAATTTCTGTATTATCCTGCTGAATTATTTTTGCTAAACGGACATGACAATGCATTTGGAGAATGACTTATCAATAGCTTCTGAAAAAAAAATAATCTGGCACAAGACCAGAATCATCATTAATCGCGCGGCAACATGTTTGACTGATGATGGTGTGAATCACCGGGTGAGAGATGACATGGGCACGTGCGCCGACTACAGCATGTGTCTCAGTTCACGAGTGATCAGGCTGGCGCAGGCTCATAATCAGGAATAAAGGTCAATGACCTATCCCAAAAACTTATTTCATTGCTTTAGCTACTTGTGCTTGAGGTAAATGGTTTGTCATCAGGCAAAATGGATTCGTGACAAAACGCTTGACTTAACTGACATCGGTATACTGTAGAAATTGTGAAACGTACCGAACATCGCGATAATTATATTACTACGGATATCAACTGACAGATCTATATTAAACCATCCATACACGCCTTCATTGATTTTTGAGAGCCTGGGGACAGTATCCATCTGTGCTGTACACATTCAGCATGATATATTTATAGTAGACCATACTAAGGTACATTTTATACTGTTTACTGCTAATTAATAAAAAAAAACACACACACACCACTGCCATAAAATGTATAGGCCCAAAGTAGGTCTTGACCGCTTAAGGAACGCATGAACTTTCATGGTTTGAGTAGGCTTAGGCGTAAAATGTCTTCAGCATTTTCAGAAAAAAACAACACAAAAAAAAACCGTCTGAAAGCCTAGCTGTTCTCGGAAGCATTTCAAATTTAACTTTATCGAGCGCCTTTGAACATTAATGATGGATACCGGCGCTGTATAGGCCTAATTGCATTTGATTGATTCATACTTTTGTGAAACACTTCGGATGAAGAAAGAAATGGGAGTCGGCCCAAAAATAATACAATGGGGAAGGGGATGAAGAACAATCGTTTGTTTTTAACTGGTGTAATGTTAGCTCCATACTATTGGTTATAAACTGCCGAACTTAATTAGTCTGTCTGACAAATTATTCTTCCACATTTTGCTGTGTATTTTGCCAGAAGCGCAACTTCGGAGTTATTGGATTATCACCGATAGTTATTAAATTGAGCCGGAACATAGTACTATACGTGTATAGTTATCTTTTTGCATAACGAATTCGGAGGTGGTCTTATGTATGAAATATTTTCAAGATGATGGAATATCGATGTAAAATTACAGTACTTTTGAAGCGACTGGATAATTAAATCTAAAATGAAATAGATTGACAGTTCAATGATTTATGATCGTGATGATGATGATGATCGTGATAGTAATATTCAGTAATAGTAGTAGTAGCAGCAGCAGCAGCAGCAGCAGCAGCAGTAGTAGTAGTAGTAGTAGTAGTAGTAGTAGTAGTAGTAGTAGTAGCAGCAGTAGCAGAAATAGCAGCAACAGCAGCAGTGGTATTAGTAGTAGTGGTGGTATTAGTATAGTAGTAGTAGTAGTTGCAGCAGCTGTCAGTATAAGAACCGTTATAAATAATGTTAAGAGTCATACATTATAATCAGAGTTACGGACAATCAGTTTTTTTGGTAATCAATTAAACCCAAGCCGTCGATAATGCTGCGATAACAACCCATATGAAGCAAGTAGGCAAAGTAATTTATATTTCATGAAACTTAAAATAACATAATATAGTATAGTGCAGTAATGAGAATCAGGGGGCAGATCCAGAACAGGGGGCACAAAAGTTTCAGAATAGTTTAAGTGACTAGCACATAACATTGATCTGCATTGAAATTTTTAAAATTTAGTGGCAAAACGGGGGGTAGGGGTGGGCACGTGCCCACGTTCCCCCTACTGGATCCCCCTACTGGATCCACCCCTGAGAACACATTAATTTACCATATCTAACTATTCTTGTTACCTACCTGCAATTAAGATTTTTTCGTAATGTTGTTGAAAACGCTGAGGTTTACAGCGACAGCTAATACTGTGGTGTATCTGTATTGATTTAATTACCACGTATTCGGTGTGACGTTTTGCTAAAACAGAATATTTAATGAGGTACAGTACATTATTAAAAGAAAGTGTTGATTGTACAGTATGATTTAGAGATTATAGGCTAAGCAAGGTACGGTAACGATCATATTGGTCGAAGGAGTAAGCATTCTCAGAATTGAATGCATGTATGCGGAGCACACACAACCAAAACAAAACAAGGTAAAAAATGAACTACAGCGGACCAACACGATTTAAGACCACATCGTTTAACTTCTTTTCGTACTTTTACACCAAAGGGTTTACTGGGCGCGAAGCTTTACTTAATTTTCCCCAGTGATTTCACCTATGATTTCACACATACAATAACGAATAAAAACATTAGGCTATATAAAGAGATAAGATATTTATCTATCATTTGATTACAAAAAAATATGAACAACGTTACAAAAATACAAGTTATTTAAATAAACGCCGGACCGATTTTGGCTTATGTGGACTAAATATTTGGCAGGTAATTTTAAAGCCCCGGACCAATTTTTTCCTGACACCTATCCCATTTTCTAAATTGCGCTAAAGGTGAACAGTGTCAATGACACTATTTCTTAAAATATCCGTTAATATAAATTTATATAATTATTATGAATGATTTCTGACCAATAACAAGCAGTAGTAATTGACCAAACATGTCCAATTCGTGCATTATCACTGCAGACGGATTTGCAAACTCGTCTGCCACCACGAATGCCTTATTTGATGTTGAACTCATGGCGGCTGACGTCATCCAATCACTTTTTGGATGCGCAATTTAAAGGTGTAATAAATTACACGAACATTGTTTTAACGGTATGACGCTCGCCCAGATAGTTTGAGATTGCGGGTTCGATTCTCACCAGAGACCTCTTTTTTCATACACCTATATTTGAGCACTGTATTACAACTCATTTGATTTATATACAATATTTGTGAGACAATTCTCCGCTGTTATAAATATTGTACTAAGTTTTTTTTCTGTCGGTGTGTGCAATGCACACGGGAATAACAGCGTAACGTCCATTCCGAAGAATGAGGTGTTTAGAGCCCAACAAGGGCACAATCAGCCTGAGGTACGACGTTGGATAGCAGGTCTAGAACTCTCGCATAAAAGTC